GAAGCCATTTCTAGGTGAGTCTAAGTGGTTTAATTTAATGCCCAAAACTAATAACCCCAGTAGGATGTATGGTGTTGTTAAAGTTCATAAGTCAGGATACCCTATTAGGCCTATAGTTGATTTTAGAAATTCACCTACTTATGAATTATCTAAATATTTAGCCATGGTATTGAATCCCCTAAAAATCCACTCGAAATCTAGACTAACAAATTCTTATGAATTAAAACATAGATTAGATAATTTAAAATTAGATAATGAAGAAAAAAGGTTAGTTTTGACATTGTCAGTTTATACACACGTATACCAATAAATATGGCTATAGAGGCAGTCAGAAACGAACTCATTTCTGACCAAGACCTCGAACTTAGGACAAAAGTGCCACTTGAGGACATAATGCTGGGAGTCGAGCTATGCCTGACTTCCACAGTATTTAAATTCCAAGGGAAAATATGAAAACAAACTGAGTGAGTTGCCATGGGATCACCAATATCCCCAGTGGTAGCAGATATATTCATGAATAAGTGGGAAAGCATAGAGATTGAAACGTTCACTTCCACCCCAAAAGTATGGTGGAGGTACGTAGATGACACATTCATTGTACTTAGAACACAAGATTTAGATAGGTTTTTCGAACACATAAACTCGAAGGTTGAGGCAATTCAATTCACTTATGAATTGGAAAATCAGGAGGGTGAGCTCCCAATGTTAGATTGCAACGTAAAGAGGAAAGAAGATGGGAAAATAAACACTAGTGTTTACAGGAAACCCACACACTCAAACAGATATTTGGACTTCCAATCATCCCATCCTATGTCAGTAAAAATAGGATTGGTGAAATGTTTAAATGACAGAGCACAAAAATTAAGTAGTACCAAAGAAAATCTAAACCAAGAACTGATACATATAAAAGAAGCCTAGAAACTTAATAATTACCCGGATTAATTAGTCAGGAAATATGTAAGGAAATGTAAAAATAAAATAAATAATGATAATAGCGATAGTGATAATAACAATAATAATGATAATGATAATAGTAATCATAATAATTATATTGATGACGACACCAACAATAAAGAGTCTAAATCATCAGTAGTAATTCCATACAAGGAAGGAACCTCGGGAGCCTCACGCAGAATTCTCAACAAAGCAGGAATAAAAACGGCATTCAAACCCATAAACTCAATTAGAAACAAGCTTTGTTGGCTAAAGGATCCTGTACAGCCTTAAAAACAAAACAATTTAGTTTATCTAATACCCTGCAATGATTGTCAGGTGAAATACATAGGTCAAACTAGTAGAACAGGGGCAGTCAGACTAGCTGAACATAAAAACTTAGCAAAATCTAGACTGGTTGACCCGAATAAAGTAAGAAATCTTGAGAATAGTTCAACTATAGCACAACATGCAGTCACACACAACCATACAATAGGATGGGATAGGATGACAGTTTTAAAATCTAATGTCACAGGGTATAGGGAGAGATTGATAACAGAAGCTTCGTTTATCGAATCAACTGCAAATACATGTAATAGGAATGATTCATCACCTGTCCCCGATATCTGGAAAATTCTACTCCCCCTACGACAAATAGGAGAAAACAAAGAAAGCTATAAAACTCAAGTGTCAAAGTCGTGTGATCACAATTGATATGATTATGAACAATAAATTTTGTTCGAAACGTCATCCAGTAAATAATACTGTTTCACTGTTTGATGTGCCTAATAAACAAACTAATATGGAAGTAATAATACTTCGATAGAGCTATTAGCATAAAACAGCGAAACATCAGTAAAAACAATATCGTTTTGTTTTTAATTCATTGAGAAATACAAAAACCGTTATTATAATGAATATCATATAAGCAGTTCCCAATTTTTTCCAAACTGTTAAAAGTGAACTTGTTTTGGATGCATATAACCAGACAGAAATGTCTCATGAAGAATTGAGGTAGATCGTCCCTGTAAATCAAAGTAATGTTTCAACATTTTCTTCATTGAATTCTACTTTCTCATAAACACAACGATGATCACAGTTGTCATCCGCACTATCACCGCCAAATGGAATATCAACTGAGATAACAAGAAGCTTTTTAAAAACCACAAAATTCTTACCCATAGATAACTGATTGCCTCTCCTGATTCAGGTATATCGAAGACTCAGAAGATAAGTCAAAGCGTAACATCTCCTAGAAATGTTTCGACACAAGGGAAGAAAACTGCAGATGTAAATCCGATCGAAATCAATTGATCATTTTACAATGAAGATTATGAATGCAATACAAGCATAAGGCTGCGTGGATTAATTCCCTCTAATATTATTAGCAGTGAATTCTAGTTGCCATAGTTTACAGACTCTTATTCAATGGTCAATATGTAACACTGAATAAAGAACTCACAAAATAATATACTCCAAATACAAAAGTCTCGTGAAAACGTCGGCTGGTTCGTCCCTGTTAAACCAAAGTAATAATAATAATGTTTCAATACTTACTTCATTGATTTCTACATTCTCATAAACACAGTGATGATCACAAATGTCGTCACCACCATCACCACCAAATCGATTATGAACTAAGATTAAAAAGAAGCCTCTTCAACAAACCACGATATTCTTACCCATAGATAACTGAAGACGTTCACTCATTGCTTCTCCTCACCCAGTATGTTGAAGGCATACAAGATGAGTTGAAGCGTACCATCTTCTTATGTTCTAGAAATGTTTCGACACAAGAAAAGAAAATTGAAGGTGTATATTCGATCAAAATCAATTGATCATGTTAGAATAAAGATTACAATGCAATATAAGCATATGACTGCGTGGATTAATTCCCTATAATATTGTTATCAGTGGTGTGAAACGAATCAGCTTATCAGTTTTGGGAAGAATGAAATTATAGAAAACCATTTATCACAACCAGGCACTTCATTTGTTTGTGTGTTAGTAAGTTCCGTCAAGGAGGAATTGTTCATAATATGGAAGAATGCACTTCAATAAATAAGTCAACCTGAATAGAATCTTATTCGATATACGAAAAGGTATTTGAGAAGTACCGCAATTAAATTCGTTTTCTATAAAAACAGAATTAGACATAATTGGTCATATATGCACTAATAGTATATAAGGTCATTAAATGATGATGCATGTCTACCAGATTGAAGTTGTTAGATATTGACACTGGTTTCATCCCTGACAGATCAATGAATTGTGAATTTAGAGGATTTTGATTTGCTTCTTTTGGAACCCAAAGGGAATAATAATAGTAAGGATGATAACAATGAAATAAACTGTATAAATTCAACGTAAAAATTACTGCCATCAAAAATGTGCATATGAATTAAACCATGATAAGATTCAAAGATTAATAGGGAACAAGAATTAGCACCTCATTTTGCTAATCAATAAACAACTAAGAATAATTTGAAACACCCATAATTAACATAATTGATTAAACTGTTATTTGCAAAGGTTGAGAATCACCTAAAATACCAATATGCGACTCAAAATCAAAGTAAGCTAAGTAATTATCAACGATTTTTTACAGACTGAATTTACTATTGAGGGTGCAAAGGTCTTGTGTCGAATGATAATGGTTATTCAACTTGAACAAGTCTTTCGATTTTGTCATTGATTCTGCTATTTTGATGAGAATGAAGAGTGAAGTGGAATCAACCCTCCATTGTAAGATGAATTCATAGTTCTCATAACACGGTAATTGAAAGCGTGAATCCTGAAGAATCGAATACATGAATGAACATTTATCGTGAAATTATTTCCTACGCATTTTAAAAGAATATTCAATTCTAATTGTAAGCACAGATTAACAAAAGCGAAATGAGAAGCGTCATCTACAGTACAAAGAATGTTTTAGTTGCTCAGTTGTGACCACATTAGAAATATACTTATAGATAAGAATGAAGTATGCACTGGAATCTACAGCTGATGACGCGCTTAGAATAAGTTTACGCAGTTAGGGAACACGTCAAGATAATTGGTCCTACTGTCAAAAGAGTAAAACCAGTGATAACAAAATAAGATGTTGAATAAATTCAGAATCTGAGTAACTGGGAGACGAAGTGGAAATTTATCGGAACATACAAGCATATCGAGTTGCAGTTAATGAGCCAGAACTTACGACTATATCACTGATATACTTGTCGTCTTTCATGGAACAAATAATTTAGGCTGCCTTCTCATACTCTGTTTGGGACTCTTCAGCAGTACACACCCACCGGGATTCGAACCCAGGACCTTCTGGTTACAAGGCGGGCTCGTATACCATTAAGCCACTGGGACCCTCAAAAGGAGTGCGTCGGCCGGGGATCGAACCCGACATGTGAATGGTCGGCGAGCGTCCTAACCACTATGCCACCGACGCATACTCTAATGCTCTGATGGTACCAACAATTGAAGTAATCAAAGAACATTACATTCAAAAGGATTTTCGAGTGATGTAAATAAATCATTCATCTCGTGAGAATCAAAGAATAAATAATGGGCAGAATGAATATTGGTACTGGGCAACAAACACACCAAAAGTTACTGACTAGACTCCGGACAATTTGGCATATAATCCCGGATAGGAGAACGGCTAGCTGGCACTCCAGGTATCCTATAGTGTTTGCCTACATTCTTGTTAGGCCACTAGCTGTTTGAGCCATGCGTATAATCAATGATTACGGTTGATTTATTGTCACAAATTTGTTTTTATTAGGAATGATATGAACATTTCAAGCAGGGTATCTGCAGTGTAAACTGTTCGATGAAGAAGTGAGCATTTCTCAGAAAGTGCTTACACCGTATCACTTGTCGTTCTCAAAATATGTGGAACATGCGTTCTCTAGAATCATGTTTTTCTTCATGTAGGAGTTTCCATCTCACTGTTTCTACAGACAAACAGTGACCGACGAACAAGCCACTATCACAGTTCTAACATACACTCAAATAACAGTGGAAAGCATGACGAACAAGCAAACAAACGATTTTAATTCGATTCATATTTTGCTTCTAATTTTATATTTAATCAATTCAGACATTGCAGGAAATCAAAGAATCATACTGTGTTGAGAAGAAAGAATAAATCTGAAATTAGCAGTCAATAGAAGTTAGGTGAATACATTTGTTCATTTAACATTTTTGGATGTGAAGAATAGACAGAACGTTGAAAATGTTTGTTATTTTGTCAATTCATTGGACATTCTTTCTCATTCCATTTTTGAAAGCAGATTATTATTTGTGTGAACAAACATATCATCGAACACCAGACGACAAATGCTAGAAACGTTTCTGAGCTTGGAGATGACAGAGGCTCCAGAATTATTTGTCGTTTATTGACGCAGATAAACATCATCTGTAAAGTGAATAAACAGAATACATTTTTACATGGAAATGAATATCTTTGATTTATGTGAGTCTGCTTTAAATTTAAAAAAAATGTTAAACTGTATTGTGATACTGGTTATTTTTCAAAGTATGAACAATTCACATTTCATCCCATCAACAACATATGATGCGGCAGCAAAGAGATTCCCTCATTTCGCAATTTCACTGCAAATCTATATTTCATGTATAATCCCCATCCAGGCATTAATGAAAACAAAACACGTAGATCAGCGAAGAGTCTCTTTTCGGCGGCGAATTCATTTTCTTAGCTGTACATTCGCAAATATATATGTGTTATTTTGTATGTATGTGTACAATAAGTTTATCAAACAAGAATACAATTGGTTATAGTTATTTAAACTAAACACGTGAAGATTGGTAATTGGAGTTACGTGATAAAAAATCAGTCAAGAAAATTAGGTGTTAGTGAAATTAGGGTAGTAACAAAGGTGATGAGTTGTCACAAACAGTTGTAAAGAGAATTAATGTAATAATATGAATAGTTTGATGAGTGAGTTTTAATCAGGATACACATAGGAACAAAATAGACAATACGAAATTACGTAAGAGTTCTAAATGAATACAAGAATCATAAGCAATTAAAGAACAGGCAAAGAAACAAAATGAAGTCATCAAAATCAAAATATCCAATCAAAAAAGTTGTTAACAAGACAGTAGAATAGTGTTCTCCAGTCGCCCACTGATCTGCAGAAGCCTCAAGGACAAGATCCCGCATCTGACCACTTCTGTGTGCATATATCAGTTCACCTGGTGCTGTAGAGCCAGATACATCGGTCGTTCGACGCGCACCCTGTCCAAGAGGATTCAAGAACACTATCCAGCAAGGTTTTCAATTGCATATTCAGTCTTTTGTTACTATTTCTCATATGAACTATTTTCAAACGATTATTTATAACTCAATCAGTGAGTTGTCGACGCTTTTGATTATATCACACTATTCCTACTTTTTCAAAAATTGTTATTCCTTATCCATTTTGATTTTCTTTGTTTGCAAGTGATAAAATATTTTCCCCTCTGTTATCAGTCCATACTGATTTTTGTATATGAAAGTAAGGTCAATTTTTGAGCTGTGTGAAATATATTTGTGATGGAATCGGAGATGAATATACACCAAACGACAAACTTCCTAATACAAGTTACTACTTCACAGACATAGCGGGGTCATATATGATATTCCCATGTGCAGCGCCAAGATAACAATGGCATTCAATACGCTGATGAAATCAACAACTTACAATGAGTACAAACAGGCAGGACACTACTCCTTCGACAGTCAGCAACTCCTAAGTACAAAGCAAAAGAATTATTTTATTGATAAATTTTGAAAATCATGTTTCATTTATCTTTAAAAAAATACCATATTGACACATCTAGTGATACATGCATAGCAGTGTTAATCACAAAATATTCTCAAACATTTGTTCATGCAATGATTACGATGTATGCGGTCTGTGAAACTAATAACTCCTATTCGGAAGTAGAGCAGTCACTGAGTCATTTTTATCTAGTGGACGGAATATATTATCGTGATAGACGGTAAACGACATGAATGTAAATGATTGTATGTCATGTAAAATAACCATCCATCACTTCAATGTTTTACCACAAAGAAACTCTTGTCAAGTAAGAATATGAAAATTTTGTGATAGTCATTACAGAATTAATTGAATGTTATAATTACGTCGAAGATACTATGTTACCCTATCAAACAGATCATCGTTCACGGATGTTGAATCTAGACCAAGTTTCATCCTACGCTATAATTACTATAGAGTCACCTTTCATTTCTTCATAATTAACAATAATATTTTCAAATAAAATTACATGTTGTTTGTTAATGAACCCCGCAGCTGCCACAGCGAATACCAAACACAAAACAAAAACTATTGTCGTCAGCAAAACAAACAATCCTTTTTCACTCAGTGGTGGTAGCTTTAAAGCCAACATAACCATGATAACCGACAGCACAATTGTCAGACTAAGTGATAATAATCCGGGCATAAATTCAAGGGGTCCCAACAATGCAGGAAAGCACAAAGACCACATTGTAACCTGTAACAAAATGGAAGTAGAAATAACAATAATGGTTAAGTAATTGAAGTCTGATAAATGAGAATTTGAAATACACAAAATATTGAGCAATCTGAAATAACAATTCATTGCACATACAGTCAGCCAATACGCTGGAAGCCATAGTAGAATAAATTTTTCACTGCTGCTTACAAAACGATCCAAGAATGAAAGCCAGCTGAAATATTCTCGTAAATATTCATGATTCTGTATGAGTTATTTGGTGTTCTTGTATGCCTAAAGCACATCAGCAAGATTCCTTGAAGTGAGTGAGAAACAAATCTCACATCACCTTATCAGCGAATGGAAACGGGAATGTTTTGAGGTGATGATGAATTCATGATAAATTCAAATAACGTGAAATCTCTACGACTTTTTCAGATGAAATCATCACCAACTGAGTTTCACTCTAGTCTGCAAGATAAGATAGGTCAGCAGTGTTAAGGTGTACTTACGTATCCGAATTTATCATGTGAGTAGATTTTAAATAGTCAAAAAAATCATTGCAGTAAACACAGTCGTGTTTCTAAACTGGCAGTTACCTGAGTGTATATCCAAGTGATTAGAATTTAACAGTTGTTGGTCGAAGAATAAAGTAAGTGTGTTTCACTTTAATTTCCATGCTTACTTCGTTGTCCTGACTTGAGTACTCACATCTTCTAAGGTAGTTGATGTTTTATGTTTTGTGACGACTACCTGAGTTGTCCAAATGAATGTATCTAATCGAAAACTTCAAAATGATATACCGAGGAATTACAGTTTCAAAGGACATTAACCTCATTTTAGTTTATTTTGAGTATGTTCACAAATGGTTTGCAGTTTCACACCCAATAATGTCATTCTGCATAATTTGATCTTCTCGACACTTGACGCGTCAGCAAGACATATAATCAAACATTCACAATGTGTTACCGAAACACGACTGATAAGTATTTGGAAATGTGCAGTTAAATCCTAATCCGAATAAATGCAATTTTGTTTATTTTGTGACAGTTCGTGGCTCGGACATAATTTGACATTAGTTGTTATGAAGATAAGATGAGTACTTGTGCTCTCCACTTGACTAACGAAGTGTTATGACTGTCCGTTTCAATATCACTGAGATTTAAATGAAAATATTTTTCACGTATGTCTTCTTTTCATCTCGTTCACAATTTCTGTGGTAGTATTCCGTTAAATGTCGACTAGCGTTCATAAATTCTGTTCGAATAATGCTTGTGTTATAACATCTCCGAGCATATATCCATTTACATGAATAATAGCTTACTTCGCTTTACAGAAGACATTGTTATCAAAAACCTTTAGCCCAACCTATGTATACAATACAGAAAGGTAGTGCGATTAATCTGTCACTTCCCTGCCTGGTAAGTGTAACTGTTTTGATCTGTTGCGCAACATTCCACTCAATCTGAGGTGAACTCACTATTAAGGATACAAATCTACCCAGTTAAATTATGTTATCTGTCATATAGTTTTGATGTATTACTCACTGTCACCATCCTGAACTCTAAACCATAATATGTATCCATTAATTCTGATTTTCTATCCTGTATTTTATCTGTAGTCCATTTTTGTTTCCCACACAAATTTGACTTCCACAACCATTGTCTAATCACTACATAAATAGTTACACTTTTAACACTCAATAATTGTCTACTTACATCACCCGTGAAATTAAGCTGCCTATACTCTCTCGCTTCCTGTGTATAACGTGAAATCATTGTAGGAAATAAGTTCAGAAATTTCGTAACACTTAATGAAATGTTTTATTCAGGATGTACGCAGTAGAATAGATTCCGAGAAATGAGCTTGCATTATCCTCCGAATTGGTTGGTTATTTCTTAATTCGGAATAACAATGTCGTGTTGTGAATCAAATGGGTGATTAAGTGAATGCACTTATGGTGACTGTGGACGACTACAAAATTTTACAGTTACGATTCGTTGGTTTTGTTTCCAAAATGATGTGAATTCTTACCGTACCATGTAAGATAAAAATAAAAATGATACTCACTGTTAATCCAAGCAGTATGTGAACAATGAGACAGTGCATTTGAAGCTTCTTCACGAATAGAAAGAAAAGTAGTGGGATGAATCCACCTAGCCTAAAATGAATTCAAAAATATCTCAATCATCACACACTTGATCAAAATAAATTCATTATCAGACTACTTCATATCAAGCCGTAGTTGTCAAATAATCAAATGTTTGTTGAGCAGACACAAGACCACAAAGGTAGGCAAATAAAAATAGTGCGATAATCTTAGATACATAGATTTAGGTAGAATAATATAGAAAATAGAGTGAAAATGTCTATCTCCACGCCCACCTTTAGTGTCTCCAGTGGATGCAGAAATACAACTCTTTAAATTCAGTAGAACTTCACTCAAAATTTCTTTCTTTCCATGTCTTAATTCTTGATGTTGTTAACATCGTCCTAATGTTTTTTCATCCTTGCAACACACTGGATGTACCAATTTTCCCATTTCTTGCGTAATCCAATTACTCGAATTATATTGTTTGCATTAGATATCAGCGTGATGGGTGAAGATCCACATAGCTACTGTGTAAACTGTTTTGTAGCACACTTATCCTTGTCTCATCCAGCTTCGTGGAATTGTCTTTATGCATGCACTAAGCTGACAAGGTAAATTGTGGCGAAATTCTTCCTATGCATATGTATCATTGTACACCTAGCTGAATTCCCGTGTGCTTAATTAACTGGTATGATATGATATCTAGGTGAAATGAACGAAAATGGCGAACTCTTTTCAGACTTCTGCGCCTTCAATGATTTGCTGATTGGTGGCAGTGTGTCCAAACACAAGGATATACACAAGGCAACATGGATTTCACCAGATGGACACACCGAAAACTAGATAGACTTCATTTCAATCTCAAGGAAGTGGAGACAGAGCCTACTGGGCACAAGATTGAGGAGAGGAGCAGATGTGGGTTCAGACCACTATCTAGTACAAGGGACTTTCAAGATGAAGCTAAAAGTCTCGAGGATAGCTGGGGATAGGCGTAATGCAAGTTCAACACGCAAAAACTGAAGGACACAATCACACAGGACATTTTCACTGCAACTGTCAGAGCAAAGCAGGAAACACTACGTGGCACCACTGAGGAATCATCCGTGGAAGACCATTGGAACTCTCTGAAGGTAATTTTCAACGAAACGTGCTCAACGGTTTTAGGAAGAAAGAGGAAACAAGACAAGGAATGGCTCTCAACAGACACTTGGAAACTAATAGAGGAGAGGAGAAAGGTGAAAGAAAAAATGATTCAATGCAAAGATGGACAAGAGAAAGAGATGCTGAGCTCAACTTACACAGCACTGGACAAAGAAGTGAAGAAGAGTGCCAGGAAGGACAAAAGACAATTCTACGACAACCTGGCTACTGAAGCTGAGAAGGCAGCAGGCAAAAGGGACCTGAGGACACTATATCAGATAACCAAGTCTCTATCCGGGAAGAGATCAACACAAGTGAAACCTATAAAAGACAGCCAAGGGAACCCAATTACCAAAGAAGAAAGACAGATTAAACAATGGGCGGACCACTTCAAAGGACTCTTGAATCGACCAGCACCTACAACCCGTCCAGTAATACCAACAACAGCACGTACACAACTGCAAGTTGACACCAATCCTCCAACGAAAACTGAAGTCATGAATGCAATCAAGCTTCTGAAAGCTGGAAAAGCAGCTGGACCAGATGGAATACCCCCGGAAGCACTGAAAGCGGACCCAGAAACGACGGCAGATATGCTGACTCCATTACTGCAAAAGATCTGGAAAGAGGGAAAGGTACCTACTGACTGGAAGAAAGGTTACCTGGTGAAACTACCAAAGAAGGGCGACCTGGGACTCTGCAAGAACTGGCGAGGAATCATGCTCCTGTCGATGCCAAGTAAAATCCTGAGTCGCATCACCCTGGAGAGAATCAAGGACGCACTGAATACAGAACTCCGACCAGAACAAGCTGGATTCAGGAAAGGCAAATCATGTTCTGACCAAATTGCAACTCTACGCATTATCATCGAACAAAGCATGGAATGGCAATCAAATCTCTACCTCAACTTCATAGACTTTGAGAAGGCCTTCGACAGCGTTGACCGCGAAGTAATTTGGAAACTACTTGAGTACTACGGCGTACCCCAAATATTCATCAACCTTATTCAACAACTGTACGAGAACGGCACATGTCAAGTGATCCACAACGGAAAACTCAGCGAAGCGTTTGGAGTAAACACAGGAGTCAGACAAGGGTGCTTATTATCACCAATGATATTCCTAATTGTGGTGGACTGGATTATGCGTCAGACAGTGGGAAACGAGAAGACAGGGATATCCTGGACCGACGTGAAGAACGTAGAAAAACTGAAATTCGCGCGTGGATGATTTATGTTTGATGTCACACAAAATTGAAGACTTACAAGCAAAAACCGACAAACTGGTCGAAGAAGCAGCAAAGACAGGACTCCAGGTGAACATAGACAAGACGGAGGTTATGAAAATAACCAACCAACAACAGCAGCAACATCCAGTGCCAATCACCATCAACGGGAGGGATTTGAAAGAGGTTACTTCTTTCACTTATCTGGGGAGCATTGTCTCAACCACAGGAGGAACGGACGAGGATGTCAAATCGAGAACCGGGAAGGCGAGAAACACATTCATCAACCTGAAACCAATCTGGAAATCTTCGTCACTCAGCATCAACAACAAAATTCGGATTTTCAATACAAACGTGAAGTCAATTTTGCTTTACGGATCAGAAACTTGGCGAGTCACCAAGAATATTTCCAACAGGTTGCAGACCTTTATCAACAACTGTCTTCGCTCCATACTGAAGATAAGATGGCCAGAAAGAATCACAAACAAGAAGCTATGGGAACAAACGAAACAGGAACCAATCGCCCAACAAATATGCAGGAGGAAGTGGAGATGGATTGGACACTCGCTGAGGAAGCCGCTGGGTGACATCGCGCTTCAAGCCATAGCTCGAGTGGAACTTGAAAGGGAAGCGGCGAGTGGGACGTCCAAGGGTGACATGGAGGAGATCGTGTGAGGAGGAGATGAACCAGTATGGAATAACATGGATGCAAGTGAAAAGTACAGCACAAGACAGAAGCAAGTGGAGACGTGCAGTTGAAGCCCTATGTTCCACTAGGAACCCAAGGGAACAATAATAATAATATGATATCTTACTGCTAAGACACTAAGGTTCACTGTACAGAGTTAGTTGTTTAGTCTGAGTGTGTCATCGAATTTTCCTGGTCCACTGTTACTATCATCTTTAATCTCTTCCTAATCTTCGTAGAATCAAACACACGCACACGCGATTTTGAATACACACTTTCCATTTGATATCAGTTTTGACATCTTCATTTCTCTATCACTTTCATTGATTTTGCTATTTTCAAAATAACGTCTTCCTTTTCTATGAGTACGCATGAATCATCACATGGTTTCAGAGTGATAGTTATATAATATTGAATTATTTTTAGTTTTTGATACTCTCAATCGCACGCTGACTGCACAAATTACCAATCTCCGTAGTTTTCTCATCTATTTGACCTAATCTGTGTCTTGTTATATTCTGTGAGATGATCTTGATTGTGAGAATTTATTCGAATACAACAAACCTCACTAACACCATTCTGTACTCATCCTTCATGCTTTCGCTTCATTTGTGAATCTATCATGACAAATCACTCCTTATTATTCTTCCCACTCATGAGCTAATTTCATTCCATGTATTATAGAATTCAGCAGTGAGAAGCAACTGAGACATCATGCAATTCAGATGAAGTCTGATTGTCCTGCAGCTATCTCCATCATCAATTTGAGGGTAGTGAAATGCGAATAAATACAGGTTGTTATGACATAAAAAGAAAATATTCGGAGGGCTTCATCCTGTAACGCTAGAAGACGAAAGGACTTGGTTAAGGAATGTTTATTTGCAATTTGGTGTCTCCATATAGCCAAGTAATATACACCTTATCTTCAAATCAGCATTTGCACAGATTTTCCATGTTGTGCTACTTCTGCCCTCCATTCATTTTGTGGTTCTTTGAGTTCCTTTCACGTCTCCCATGTATCTCCGCAACACTGGATCGTTTGCTTACTCTGACATCAAATCTGTCTACCTGCTATCTGATGTTTAATGCCGTTGAACATTTCTTGTGTGTGTATTTATATGCATATATACTACTGGAAAATCATGTCAGTAGCACACGCACCAATCAGACTGTTTGCAGAATTTATTCTAGGGTAACGTGGAATGATTTTGAGCAATACGCAAGAGCTCACATTATAGTCAGTGAATAAATAAGACAATATCCCTGTGTTCTGTGTCAAATATATTCATCCCATTCTACAGTATGTCACATTACTGACTCCAAAGTTCTTCAGGTAGTGTACGAATGCGCGTAAATTCAATACAACATATAAGTAAAATGTCATTTCCAATGAAATACATTTGCATATGTAGACATAAAATGTTCAATCATGTTGAATAATCAACTTACAAAATAAGATATTTCACGTAAGCATGGTTCATGGAGAACTCGCGAAGTTCTTTTCTACAAGACAAATGCAAATTAACTTCAATTTAAGCTAACATTATGCTCAACAAAGTGATGATCACAACGGTCATCAACACCATCCATGTGGTGTCCACGACGAACTAACAATGAAAATCAGTTGAAGAAAGCGTAATGTCCTCACCCAAATAACTTGTTTCACAGAGAATGGTTGTCCTACCAGATTTACGCGTTTGAATTTCTTGTCAGATGTATAATTACATGCCATAATCCTATCAGCTGCATTTGTTTTCATATTTGTGCTGAAAAAATGAAGATATTAACAAAATTGGAAAAATTAAATGACACTAACACAAATATGACAAATTCATTACAATAAAAGTATTCTTGCTTGAACTGACTTTCACAATACGTGATGAATTATTCAAAATCAATCAGAAAATGGCTTTTTGGTAAGATTATGGAATGTTATACCTAATCAAATTTGGAGATTAACGGTTACCTCTGTTGTGTCAGTAGTTCAGTGGTAGAACGCTCGCCATCCATTTACATGGTCTAGGGCTCGATTCTCGGCCGACCACTCCTTAACCTCTCTAAGCCAATTGCAATGCCCGTGTAAAGGGAGGTTAGTGTGCGGGACCAACAGCCACAACTCATAAGAACAAAACCACTGACACTTAAACATCAATTCAGTATCCTCAGTAACTAACTCATTCACCTTCCATTATATATCAAATAATGGTGACAAAAAATCGGAATCTTTATGCTCCCATTCTTACAACTTGGCTTCATCTTAACTGTCGGAAATGGTGAATCGCTATCAAACCATAATTTTGCAAATTAAATAAGGTTTCAGTTCATGTCAGGCGAGTTTCTAGTGAGGTCTGAAAGATATACAGCCAACAAACCGCACTACTCATCTACGAATTGACCATCAAAAGGAATAAGCGCATCAGTTTTGTCTGACGCAACTTAAATCAGACTGTAATATCACTTCAAAACGGTAAACGCATGTCGGCTGTGTATGTTTATTAAACCACATCAATTGAGCAGTATCAATTTAACTACAGATTGCACATATGGGTTTAAAACAAGCAATAAAAGTTAATAAAGCAGGATTTAATGAATTCATCAAATTTCGGTAGAACTCGTCAGCTGAATACTCTACATACACGGATATATACTTTTGAAGTTACATTGGGAGATATAGGACTAAATACTTTACATACACGGATATATACAGTTTTGAAATAACATTGGGAGATATAGGACTGATAAGTAAATAAACTACATTGAATTAGTCATGCAGAAAGACAGGTGCGAATGTTTTTCCAGGTCATGTGCAATTAGATAAGGGGAGAGAGAGTATGGGAGATCAAAATTAAGATAAATTGCATTACGCTTCAATTACATCACTTAGATAAACAATTAGACATTAGAGAATTTAACAAGAATTGCAACCAGAGGGATGTCAATAGTAATAGTTATAATAACAATAATATAATATAACAATAATAATAATAGTGTTGAAGTGGGTTAAAATAATGCTACTGATAAAGGATAGTTTTAAATGGATCAAGAATAATAATAATGAGATTAATAATAGTAATAATAAAATAATAATAAGAGGTAGAATTATAAGTAAAACGTATTACCATGGTAGATTCAGAGTCACGACCATCTCCTTTTGTACACAGAGACCTGGTTTGTAACCTCGAATTACACAAGCCTCTGCAATTGCAAGCATCTTCTTGTTTCTTTGTCTGCTGACAATTGTGAATGACTTGACTGCGTCGATATCGTGCCCGTAATCCACAAGATGCTTTGTTATTGAGGATTTTGGCACTTTGAACTCAGCTGTTTTCAACCATTTTGGCAAATGCTCCATCATGCGAGTAGACAATCTCCTTTCCGTACGACCTATGTATTTGCTTCCACAAACACACTCAAATTGATATACGCAGTTTGAAGTTTCGAGGATTGGCGACTGGTCTTTCCCAGACTGTTGAAGCACTCGCTTAGTGGTGTTAAGGAAAACAAGTTTTGCAGCATAATAAGTTCTCTTGATGGCTTTGTCGAGTCTTCGTTTGACTACTTCCTGTACATCATCTCCTTTGAACGGCAAGTTGATATATACAGGTTTCTTCGGAACTGTTTGGATTGTTTTGCAGCGGGTGTTTTCTTTAGAGTATTTATTAATGAACTTCTCAGGGTATCCATTCTTAGATAAGATATCCTTCAGGGATTTTATTTCATACTCAACAGTACTGTCAGAACAAATTTTTCGTACTCTATTGAACAGTGTTCTGACTAGGTTCTTTTTGTACTGGATTGGAACGAAACTCTTGAAATGCATGTACTGTCCTGTCCATGAGGACTTTCTAAATATAGATCTTTCGATTGTGCCATCATTCATTTTCGCCAGAAAAACGTCTAGGAATTTGATAGTATCATTTTCCTCGTGTTCTACTGTGAAATTGAGATTTGGATGGCATGAGTTGAATTTTGTCAGCATGTCTTCGGCTTTTGATCTGCTTCCACAGGCAATAAAAATGTCATCAACATATCTTAGGTATAGATCCGTTTCTTGTATATGTTGTTGCAGGGTACCGGTTTCTAGGCGTGACAGGAATAAGTCAACGAAAAGTGGTCCCAAAGGGCTTCCCATTGCGACACCATCAACTTGACGGAACAAACGCCCGTCGAATTGGAATTGGACATTTTTAGTACATAAAATCCTGCTTTATTAACTTTTATTGCTTGTTTTAAATTCGTATCGGGAAATAAATGTTTCCAACATATGCGTTTGTTAGATCAACGATTACGAAACCAAGACTGGTGTTCAATATTCTGTAGTCGACGTGAAAATCCACAGAACTCATCATAAGTCATGCTATCCGAATGTTTCACATAAATGCGCTTTCATCGCTTCCACATATTTCAGACACTTCATGTCTATCAATGAAATCATTTCCAACAGACTGTCGACTTTCACTGATAGCTGCCTTCGTTGGATACTGAAGATCAATTGGGTTGGCACAAAGCATGAACAACAAGAGACGCTGGAAGAGAGCGCATCATTGTGAAACCTATCATCGGTGAAATATGCAGAAGAGGATGTAGATAAGTTGGACATAACCTGAGAAGACCACCAGGTGACATCAGAAAACTAGCAGGCCTTCTGGTGGGAAACAAAAAAAAGTGATTGTTTCTGGTGCCAGAACAAAATGGAGGAGACTGTGAAGATGAAATCTGCTAGGGAGTGGTGAAACTAACCTAATGTGATAACAGAGAAACAGATGCAATGTAGGTGAACCGCAGAATCCATTAGTTCCACTAAAAATGCGTGGAATAAATGATATTAATAATAGTAATGACAACAAATCACGTTTAGGAAAACCTCACAAAATCTACACTCCTCTTCTTATTATGAAAATCGATAAACACTCCACAATCAATCTAAAATTAGACATACCAAGGAAAATAAATAATCAGTTAATTAAACCTACAGAACGTAGCTCCTCTCTTGTAATCTCACAGCTAGAATATGATCACCTATTTGTGCATATATATTCATCAAAACTGTCGATAATTATCATTACCTTATTGATTGTTCATAATGCTTTACCTCTCTCAGTGTGTTATCGTATCACGCACCAAGTGGTTTCAGTCATAATCATCCAGTTATGTGCGTTGTATATAAATGAATGTCGCTTAACACATTAGTGAAGTGCTAACATACTCAAAAAAATCTGTTGACGAGTGTAGTTATGAGCTAGTTCTTTCAAATCGAAAGTACTATTCAAAGTGCAAAGGTTTCACATCGAAATTCAAGGACGAAGTCACCCAACAAACAGCCATCGAGAGTAATTAAAATAGATGAAACATAAAAAGAAATACATGAATTATGAAAACTGAAACAAAATAGTACGATGTGCTACATACTACTGAGTGATGGATTCAAGTAGGTGCCATTTATGTTGAATGGAAGTTGCAGCCGTCCAGATAGAACCTGAAACAACTATTTTAGTTACATATACAACTTTTGTGATGAACATTCCTACAGAAAGATAAAGATTTCTCCAGCTGCTTTCATTAGCAAAAGTGCAAGGAGAAGACTACGTTTGACATGTAAATGGCGTTGATTTTGATTTGTGAGTGCTGAATACAATTATCAAAATCAAGCACCTCATCTACTTGATAAACAAGATTCATGGCATAATATCCTCACGTGGAGGTATAATGACAAGGCAAGGTGGGGAATATCCTCAAATATACCGATGATATCAGACTCGTATTTCCAACATTAATGTAAGATTAGTGCTTCCATTTGGTTAAGAGAATTGACACATACGTTAAGCAAATTGATTCCAACAGGCTGAAGGCTTCTGACAACAGCTGCTTTCCCTGGATCGATACAGAAGAACAGAGGGCCAGCAAGGATTAGCAATATAGGACAATGGGAGGGGTAAAATGATATGAAACATTTTGTTAAATTCAAGACCACTGAGAATCCTTATGCAGTTTAAACACTAACTACTAGGCAGACATAAATAATTCATCAAAGACATGTTGTTTGTTGGAGTTCAAGGGATAGTAGGAAAAATGAGGGCTGAAGACAATTGTTGACATGGCTGAAAATCACTCACAATGAGTAACACAGAAGCATTCACTCTTTGGCTTATCATATCCAATAAATTGCTTTCTCCTTCCGTATTACTATACTTTTCCGTCACTCACACTTCTGTCTATTATCTCTCCCTCTGTTCAATCACACACTGATCTCTCTTTCCTTACTTTGTGTGTTGAATGCAGAGAGAGAAGGCAATACAAATGAAACACATTTGTGCAAGGGAGTTTGTGGTGATTGACAATTCCTATCACTATTGTTTAAATACTTACAGTTGTTTGTTCATATTTTTTATTTGAATTGCAAATAATTCCGCCAAGTAAAAATTCCTAAATTCATCCCTTTCTGTGTTGCTGACTGATTTCCTGTAATTCAGTCATTGCGAAATACTTCTATTACAAATAACTATAACATTTTTGCGTCGCTAGGGAATTAAATAATCTTCGAAAGTTTCCTATGAATGGTTCACCGCGAGAAATTGCTGATTATCTTCAATGCTTCGACGCATGGTGC